TTTTTTTTTTTTTTTTTTTAATTTAACCTTTCCCTTCCATAGCTCCTATGACCAGTAAGATTTATGGTTTACAGTCACAGAGCATTAACCCTGATGAACATACAGGAGAGGGCATGATGAGCTCCTGAGGCAGGCTGGCCAGCACATCCTCCCACCTTCCTGCAGCTCATACTCTGCTATTCATATAAACCAAGGTCCTGTGAGGCAGCTGTAAACACATGACTTTGAAAAGCTCAACTGGCTTTTCTCGTGCCCTTGCAGTCAAGTTAAGCTGAGACTGTATCTTTAGCCTGATCTCATTCTTGTGATTATAAGGCAAATGCTTGAAAACTGGCTGTAGTGGGAGTAGGTAAAGAAAACACTTCAGCATTCCCAGCTCAGCTTTCTGAGTCTCTGCTTGAGTGCAAGCTTCCCTTCTGGAGCCTGTCTTTCTGGTTTTCTGTGATAATGGATAAAAAATTACTGAAAATGGGCTAAAACAAGGGCTCATATCCTGCAGGGTCAGTAGGACCTAGCAGGATAATTATTGGTCAGTGCTGCTAGATACCTGCTGTCTGGAAAAGAACTCTGCAGTGGGGCTCCCTGGAATGGTTAATGCCAAATGTCTCCTTCAGAAGTTCCCTTTTGTTGGTGAGGAGTAGGAGCTTTTTCATATCCGTAGAACTGGACTATTACTCTTTCAAAATACATATTGAGCTGTTTCTGTGAGCCTATTCACTCTTTCTAAGATGGGTGTCAAAGACTGTTTCCAAAAAAAGTGGATTGTAGGCACATTCATTGTCCCAGTTTTAGGAATGTCTCTGAACAGAGGTGCTCAGGGGGAAGGCTCAGAGATTTCTTTCTGTCCTCCTCCAGACTCAGTCTGCTCTGTAGGATGGGACTGATTTAACCATGTTTGCAAGTGGCTGGGCTGTTGTCATTGCTCAGAGATGATGTGTTTACAGTGCAAAGAAAACCTGATGTGTCTGGGACGTGGACTGGCTAGAAAAGCCACCAAGAATGGGTTTTAGCTTGGTGAGTCCAGGCTCAGGAGTATGCACCCACTGCATCCTCTTCTGGTAACTGCAGATGAGGCAACAGACTCCCTGGTCATGGAAATAAGAGGTGAGACTTCAAAAATCCACACAGCACTAAAATCTGCACAGCTCTCCATGTCCGGGGCAAAAATCTAAAGTGATATCAGGGCCCTAAGTGCATGACTAGGTCTTCGTGACTGACCAGCCCCACATGGGGCCTCTACCCACATTCAAACCCTTCAGCTCAGCTCTGGACTGTCAGTCCCTGTCTAAGCCACACTGTAGAATGTTGGTCTCCAGCTAAGTTGTAGATATGACCATACGTGGCCATGAATCCTGTTGATCTGTACCCCAACCTGACTGACTTTCCATCTTGATATCATGCCTGTCTCATCACTCTGGACCTTCCTGAGGATCTCTGGTATGTGTCTGGCCCTCGTTAACCTCACCAGAGCTGATCCTGCTGTGGATTTACCTCCCACCTTGACCAGGGACCTGTCTCATCACCATGAATTTCCTGATGATCTGGACTTTTAGTTGAACCTGGCTGTCATCTCTGGTCCTGCCTTGCTGACCTCTGTCAGGGGCTGTGGGATGGTCCCTGGCTCTTGACTCTGCCCTCCCAGCCCCATGGTCATACTTGGCTCCATAAGGGACAGGCAGACCTACATCCATCCTGACACCTGATGTGCTCAAGAAAGTTCATCGAGCTTCTGCTCAATTCCTTCTCTTCTTGTAAAGGCCACTGGATACAATTTGCTCATCAAAAGTCCTTGAACAGTATTTCTTAAAGGCAGCTGCCATAATGGCTTTTTATCTTAGGGAAAGGAATCCTTTTTGGTAGCACATCTACTTTCAACACAGCTCCTGCCTAACCAAGAGAAAAAGCAGATCCAGGTTCCAGTTGGATGATGTGTCTTTGCTTGCTCCGTCTCAGTGAGTGAAATCTGTGAGTACAGATGTTTTTCCCACTCTCTGATCCCACAGTGCAGTAGCAGCAGGCCCCACTGGCAATATTTGTTTGTCTGTATAAAGAAGCACATTTAAGAATTTCATAAGTTTGAGGTTTTCCTGTAGAAAATCCTGTTTCCAATACCAGAGGTTTCCACTCAGGATATTGAATTTCAGACCATTGCTGAGGAATCACTGCCCATCATGTCCATTAAAGGTAGGATTTTTCCCCAGAAGTGGTGATAGAGTTCCATCTGAACCATCCAAATGTTTCCTTATTCATCCTGACAAGATCTTTCTGAAAAAGATGCAACACACAAATTATTAGCCAGAATTTTTAACCTGGAAAGAGCAAAGTCAGATAATCTGAGCTCTGTTCTGCTGTGGTGGTGCATCATGGTGGGGTGTAGGTGTATGTATCTTTTGAGGGGGACATGTTGAAATGTCTGCCAGATTTTCTACTTACTGCTGTAGCCTGGTGTTCCCAGAGCTTGGAAAGTCAGGAGGGACGACTGTGATCTGTGTGCTGACCAGAGTAACACATGCTGTAGGATTGCCTTGATTTAATTGCTCATGTATCTATTTAGAGAGACTTGCTGTTAAGAGTGACAGAAAGTACTGCATCTTCTTAAGGTAATTATTTTGATTAATTATTACCCTCACTAAATTAAGACTAAAAATATCCAGCTATAGCTTTCAGACACTGGATCCTATTTATAACTTTGCTAGGTGAAAGTGAAGTAAGTTACCAAATTTCTGTCCCTGCTAGACCTTTGTATAGCCTGCTGTCCAGTCACTTCATGGTCACCAACCTCCCAGCTAAGCCAAAGGAGTGACTTGGTGTTTCCATTGTCAGGTGGGCTGTTCTTGTCCTTTATTTATCCTCTTGCCTTCTTATCTGAATATTCTTCAGTCTGCCAACCACCTTCGTGAAGGACAAGCATGAGGACTGGGTGTAGTGGGGAAACTCAGAGCTAAGATGTCTTCCTGATCTCCTTTAAAAATGCCCTGATTGTCCAGCCCAAGAGTACCTCAGTCTTTTTAGCTGCACCATGGCCCTGGAGGCTTCTCCACAGCCATCATGACAGAGCACAGCAGTGAACAAGTTCTTTTTCCTGCTGCCAAAGCAGAGTCCCCCATCTTTGAAGTGTCACCCGTATTCTTCAGCACCCCACATACCGTTCTCTGCCCCTGGAGCACAGTGCAGTCAGTTTGCCAAGTGATAGGAGATCATCCAGTGAGACTAGTTCACTACATTCCTCTCTTTCTCCAGCATGTCAGCTTCAACTGGGGCATATCTCAGAGGCTTTCTGAGAAAGTTTGAAAAACTTCATAGCAGCAGTTAGGGGATTACCTGTCCACAAAACCATCTCCAGCCTGTCTAGCTGCAGATTTTGAGGCAGGAGATTTTTTTAAACATTCAGCAACTCAGTAGTTTCATTTTTGGAAACATCCTGAACTTGGCCTTTTCATCAGCCTGAGGCAGTGAGTCCCACCATGAAGATGACTTTTTAAGAGCAGAACAGAGCAGCTATGTGATCATCTCTTGGTTACTCTTCAGAGATTTGTCATCTGATTAAATAAAGAATAAAGGGGTTTTTTTCAGTGAATTATTAGCAGCCTTCAGACTGCTAGAACTAATATTCTTTTGTCTGTTGCCTTGCTGGCTCAAACTCTGTCTTCTGGAGTCAGATGGAACAGCCTTCTCTCTGGGGGCTGAATTTGACATATTGTTTGCTATAAGGTGGGAGGAGTAAGAAGTCATTTTGGAGGTCTTCATGGCATGGAGACTTTTTTTCTTTAGATCTCAGAAAGCAGTATCTGGACTGCACAGGTTTCCAATGATGCTCTTCGTTTCTGATGCTGAATGGTTGGTTGCAACTTCACTTGGTATGGACCAGGAATAAACCAGCAATTGGTGGGAGTGAGACTCTTGGGAAACTAGATGACACATAAGCAGGAAATTGTCATACCTAACTACATTTTTGCTGGCACTTTGACAGCAACTGGAGCAGGATTACCCATGGAGAGTGAAAGGAAGCACAGGAAGCAAAAGCAAGCCTCCTGCCTATTGACCCGGCCAGACATCAAGCAGAGGAGAAATATCTTACCCTAAATTAGGACAAAATCTACTGCAGGATGCCCTGCAGAAGTGAACTAACATTTACAGACAATGTTATCTTGGATTTGCTGACAGAGAAGATGGGAGCAGTTCACATTCGAGGTCTGTAGTGTCTGATGGGACTTTGGAAATGAGCATCCAGTCCCAGAGGGGGTGGCTTTTCTCCTCAGCTGTTTCAGAGTCAGGCTATTGTGTTGCCATGGCAGACTGGAGAGCTGCTCAGTGTGAATGAGTATTTCTGAATTACACTACATGGGATGAAAAGGTGCTCGTGTTGTCCAACTTTAGGCATCCTAAAATACTACTTTGTAGAAATTACTGGCAGAGAGCACAGGCTGTGGATTATGTGAAGCTCTATTGATTCTTCATGGCAGATGGTTGGAGTGGGACTTGGACTTCAGGAGCTGTATCCAAATTTCCATGGAAGAGCCCACTGAGGAATGAAGGGGGTTGTTAGGTTCTTTCTCCGTTTTTGTAATTGTTTTTTTAATCCATGTGGCTTAGAAAAAAGGTTTTTCATATGACTTTTGGCATTGAAAATTCCTGGTGATCCTCACTGTGCATTGCAGAGACCAAACTGTAGATAAATTCAAGGAGCATATCCCAGGAATACTCAGTATTTCTCCACATGTCACCAGTACTTGGCTAGAGACAGGGGCCAAAAGGCCTTTTCTGACTCACAGGATGAGAAGTCGGCCTCCTAATTCCCTCCCATTACCAACGACCCCCTTTCCTTCAGTGAGGTAAGGAATGTGATGGAGATCTCTAGGATTTATGCAAAGCTCAAGTAACAAAGGTGTAAAGTTCTCCCTCTTCAGAGCTTTGAGAATCCTGTGAGAAACCGGCTCTAAAAATACACTCTTATATACACAGAAGTGGAGGACAGAGGTGCAGGTTCACTCAGCCAGGTCCTGGATGGATGGGGTGATTTGTGCTGCAGGAGGAATGGGTTGGTCACGTGGCAGTTAAAGGTGTGGAAGGGAACTAACAAGCTTCAGGGCCTTGCCCCTCGGTTGAGTGGGGAGACCAGTTTTGTTACATGGGATCAGTGGGTCCACAGTTGCTGCAGGTCCCCCTGCAAGGGATTTGGGAGCGTGGCTTTTAGCAAGCAACACAGGATCTGGGAGCTGACTGACTGTCCAGGCACTAGTTCTGAGTGTTCATATCCAGAGTTCTCTCGATCTCCACTCTTCGTGACAGTGAAGACACAGACGAGCCAGTCCAGCAAAAAAACACCGGCCTCAATAAACCGCTGTTCTGCCCTCCTGCACCGCAGCCCCCCCGCCGGCCCGCCCGCCTCCCAGGCCCAGATGTTCCGTGCTCCGAATTCTGGATCCCCAGGAAGCAAGGCCATTACAGGTACCAATTGCCTTTCTACCATCAACTTTCTTAATTGCTTAGTGTCCAGTCCTGCCCTGGGTTGGCTTTTGACCCTTCCTGGACTCAGTTTTGCTCCATCCATGACTATCCCAGAAAAGCTCCTCCCAGAAGCCATTGAAGGGATTAGATCCTTAGGCACATTGTAAGTGAGGAATTCAGATCAGGAGTAGAACTTTGTAACTTCTTCCCAGTGTCAAGTCGGTTTGTTTTAAGCACTGTGCTAACCATGAGGTACAGATGATGCTGTTTCAAATCCTGGTGTTGCAAACTGAGGAGAGCTTCCTGACAAGGATTGGCGTAGTGGCTTGTCAGGCATGGGAGTGTTGGGTTTTCAGCTTTGTTTGGCATTTAATGTTTGTTTTCCTCAAGGTGGCCTTTTCAGGGCTGGACCTGTGCCTAGGGACATGAAATGGAGTACAGGTGTTTTCACAGTGCTCCACTCTCCACTGGAACCACTGAGATAAGCTGGGCTCCAGCAGCAAAGTTAATGGTACAGAACCTTTGCCAAGGTGTTCAAAGAGACAAGTTAAGGTCGATCCTCCCATAATCCCTGTTTCCTCCTTCCAAACAAGATCAAACCTTAAATAAAAAAAAAAAATAACAAAAAAAAAGATAAACAAGGCAAAGAGCACTGAAAAATAGCAGTTAATAAATAGGATGAGAGACATAGCCAGGCAGCAGAGAAGCAGTCTCTTAAATCCATCTGAGTTAGAAGAAGGACTGGTCAATCAGCTGGGAATTAAATGCCCCTGAAATGTCTGGCATGGGCAGATGCTGAGCAGCAGAGGTGGCTGTGGTGGCTCTGTAGGCCACAGGATGCTGAAAAAGGCTGCCTTTTGTTAGATGACACACACATCTACCAGCTACCAGTTGTTGCAAGGATGACCTGTCTTCTTACAGCTTTTGAGTCCTGAGATATCATGATGTTATTCCACCTCTTAAACATTTAGATGATTTCATTACTCATTTGAGGCCTACCCAGTTTAATCAAGTTAGGACTTTAAGCTGAGAAACCTTCATTATTTACTTAAACTTGCAACAACTTCTTCCAGTTTCCCATGTCCAACAAAAGTGGAAAAGCTGGGACCCTTCCTGGGTCAGAGGCCATGTTCATCTGAGCAGTAACTGGGAGATGTTTTTTGTAAAGACTCCTTCCCCCCCAACTTCTCCAGTCAAAAAATAATGTCAGTACATTGGGTAAAAACTTTGGGCTTTTCTCTTCCTGTATGGAGGAAGGAATCAAATGATGCCTTAGCGTGGTAGGTTGATCTTCAAGAAACTTAATACGAGTGTGGAGGTCCTACCCTGTCTATCTGGTGGCATCATGTTTGTGGTGTCTTTCAAGGCAGTGTCTTGTACAAATGCAATCTGAGCAGCTGCTTGAATTTCTAGTTCAAAGCGTTGACCGTAACATCTGTCAGGAAGACGGTCTCCTGAAGGGATGCCCTCCAAGGGCTGTAGTTGGAGACATTCCATGTGGGCCTGGATAATACCAGGGATGGTGGGAGTGCCACTCCACTGACAGTGTTTGCACAGACACTCAGTGGAGCAGAGCTTACTTTCTCTGTACAGATAATTCTACTTTGTGTGCAAAAGATTCAGGTATGAGGAGAAAGAGAGAGAGAGAGACAACTTGTGAACTTGTGCCTGCTGCCCTCTCCTGTGTGGGAAGGACACAGTAAGACCAAGAAGATGCATTAAACCAGTTTTGTCTTGTTACCAGTCTTGGGGGGGGGGAAAGGCTAATAGAAGATGAGGACAACTACCATGCAGATTTTTTCCAAACGTTTTTGGAGACCTCCAGCTCACTCCCACTTGTGACATGAGCCAAGATTTGACCTTGGGTCTCTTGGGGTAGATTGGCCTAATCCATTTTGTCATGGTCTCTTTTTACCACTGTGCCATCTGATTTTCTAGTTACTTAAGGCCTCTCATTCCTATCATTTCTCTGTCAAGGGGCATAGACTAGATAATGTCTCTAGTTCCTTTTTGTTTTATGTGATTCTGTTTTAACCTATTTTATTACGAAGTTTTCCTATTCTGCATTTTCCAAAGAGCCAGGAATGTAGTAGATTGAGAATCTGAGAAGCCTACTCAGAACTTGGAAGGGTCTGTTAAGGATTGGTGGGACCAAAATTCATGGGCTGAGAGCTTCATGAAGTTAGATCTTGTCTAGCCGCATCAGACATAAAGCCCATGTTTGAGTCTGCAGGTAGTTGGGGCTTCTTTATGAAAGTCAGGACTGTAGTTCTGACCACTCCAGTGGTCTGCAGACATATGTAATGGTATAATGAGCTGGTATCAATTTTCAACAGTCCCTGTCATTCCTGACTTCTGTCCCCCAAGTCCCTCCCTGTACAATTTGCTGCTGTTGAGCCCAGCAGAGCCTTCCTAAGCCATGTTCAGATGAACCCATTGGGTGACAGTGGGCTCCATGAGAGAGTCCACGCATGAGAAGAGTCTAGAGCACAGACCATACACATCAGGCTGGCCAGTTCGCCTTTAATTTTATTTATGTCTAGTTTATCCTCAAAGTCACTACAGGAAATACATTTGCCCAGGTATTACAGGTGTAGTTGAAGGGAGACAAGGCCTCACACTGTTGTACAGCTGACCTTGTGCTGAGGGATGCCAGCTTGAGAAGCATGGGAGGCACCTCAGCTGTGCTGTGCAGTGATGTGTCCGGACACTGCACACTGAAGGAGTCCTCCCAGTACAGTTGCTGGGAAATTGCCCCTCACTAGTGCTGCAGTATGTGAAGCAAGTGAAGCACCAAGAGCCTGCCTGCTGGGCCTGCGGGAGGGCTGGAGGGGCCAGGGCACTGCTGGGAAGTGCAAGGGCAGGCTGTGAGACAGCCCTTCAGTCCTGTACTTGAACCTGTCAGGGAGGGTGTTCAGGGAGGGAATGCAGATTACTGGGAAGCACAGGGAGAGTTGCCATGGTGACACTCCACGTGTTGTGATGAGGACCTGAGTTCAACCTGCACACCTGGTCACCTGTGCCAGAGGCTTCAGGAGCTGCTTAAGGAAGAGCCTTAGATAAGGGTTGGGTTATTTTGCAGGGGAGGAGGCCATGACCCTTCTGGTGCAGTCAGGACTGGTGTTCATGGGCTCCCTAAGAGCCAATCCAGGTCACCTCAGCCAGAAGGCATTCAAGAAAAGTATCTACCTGCTATCCCTTCAATTATTCTGGCCCATTTGCCTCCAAAATGAGATATTGATCTTTTCTGCTGTATTCAGGGTATGCAGTCGTGTGTCACAAGAGCATGTCTTGCTGCCTGTCTGTGTGATTCTGCATCCATTGTTGACCAGTCACCATTC